GCTTATTAACCACCTGCCATGGGCAGATGACACACCCTTGCGTGCTGAAAGTGAGGACTTGAAGCCGTTGCTGATGAAGATCAAGGATCGCAGCTTTCAATATGGATTATGACTCAATATAAGGAAAATTAAAATGCTCACAACTGGACCAATAGGTAACCTCTGCTACACAGAGAGAAGGTTGACATTGTCAAGGATTTGGTCTTGCTTGGATCCACAATCAGTGCTCATGAAAGCAGCAGTCAAGAGAGCAAAAGACGTGTTGCATTCGGTAAAAATCTGCTGCCCAAGACCTCTTTGGAGCATTGAAAAACAAGGCTGTTGCTCTTTGAGGAAGACGCGGCCCTCCGCGCTCTGTCCCCCTGCTCCCATTCCTGACTCACCGCTGTTCGCTCTCGCCAAGCAGCTTCGAAGAACAAGTCGGTCAGGAAGCGCCCCGCCGCCATGGCATTTAAGGACACCGGAAAGACACCTGTGGAACCAGAGGTGGCCATTCACCGGATTAGAATTACTCTGACCAGCCGCAACGTGAAATCCTTGGAGAAAGTGTGTGCTGACTTGATCAGAGGGGCTAAGGAGAAGAACCTGAAAGTGAAGGGACCAGTTAGGATGCCTACCAAGACTCTGAGAATTACCAGCAGGAAAACGCCCTGTGGTGAAGGTTCAAAGACCTGGGATCGATTCCAGATGAGAATCCACAAGCGTCTCATTGATTTGCACAGTCCTTCTGAGATAGTTAAGCAGATCACTTCCATAAGTATTGAACCTGGAGTAGAGGTTGAAGTCACCATTGCAGATGCTTAAATCAACTATTTTAACAAATTGATTTATCTGTTGGTAAAAAAAAGGGAAAAAAAAAAGAAAAACAAGGCTGTTAATTTGAGGACCAAGATGTGCCTGACCCAAGCCACGGTATTTTTCATTGCCTCATATGCATGTGAATGTTGGACACTGACTAAGAAGGTACCAAAGAACAATGGATGCAGCATTCAACAGCGTTGCCGAAAAATACTGAAAGAATCATGGACTGCCAGGAGAATAAACACATCGGTCTTGGAAGAAGTACGGCCAGAATGCTACTTAGAGGCAAGGATGATGAGGCTTTGTCTCACGTGCTGTGGACATGCTGTCAGGAGAGACGAGTGCCTGGAGAGGGCCGTCATGCTGGGTAAAGAGGCGGGGGAGTGAAAAGGGGGAAATCTTCCACAACACGGACTGACACAGTGACTGCATTGATAAGGCCAAACCGAGAAACAATCGTGAGGATGACACGGGCCTGGGCAGTGTTTTGTCCTGTCGCTATGAAACAAACAGAGGGGACGGCACCTAACAACCAAGGTAGTGTTTCAAAATGCACCTAAGGACAAGGGTGTGGCTTGGTTCACACCTTCTACTAAAATCAGGTCTCAATCCCATCCAAATCTTGTCCATTAGTCTAGCACAGACTACCCTCCAAAATGGGTCTATAGCCACAGGCACAGAGTCCAAAATTAGAACTCATTACACAAGGAATTATGGGTAGAACAGCAATACTCATGAAGAGCAACTCAGAACCCACCAGCTGACTTTGGGAGAAAGATGTGGAAATCTGCTTGTGTCAAAATGTTACAGTCCTGAAAACCTTGTGGGGCAGCTCTA